TATATTAGCTATCCTTTTCTTAGCTACCTTTAAATTAGCTATCTTCTTATTACCTACCTTTATATTAGCTATCCTTTTCTTAGCTACCTTTAAATTAGCTATCTTCTTATTACCTACCTTTATATTAGCTATCCTTTTCTTAGCTACCTTTATATTAGCTATCTTTATATTAGATACCTTTATATCTCCTTTGTTGTTCGGTTTCACTAGGCAACAGTTTGTAAAAGACACTGAATACATCTGCATGAACAACTTAGGCAGAGCCCCCCGCCCCCTTACCTTCATCATGGCACTGCGCGCCAAAGCAGCAGAACCGGGCCGTTCCAAGCCTTCCTGCAGCTGGGCCGGGTCATCCACAGCGGCGTTGCGCTTGAAGGGGATGGAGGGAGCCATGAAGGAGTAACCCTTTGTGATGGACAGCACAAGGAGATAAGGGGAAACTGGGGATGAGCAAGTTCGGTGCATGACACCAGCATGAAGAGGCAGCCATTCTGCTGACTCATCTGTTGTTTATAATAGTTTATGTTGTTTTGGAGTAATAAACATCTACCATGTATAAAGTGTCATCAAAGTATGTTCTTCCCACCTAGGCTTAATAGTTATTTAATTTGTCATTCCATGACCAATTTCTCACTAATTAAAAATTCATTATACAACATAATTTCATGTCGTTAACACAATTTGACACAGACACCATAAAGCAAAGAGTTAAAGCTCTCAGTGGAAGGCCTATATTTTATCATGCTGACACAGTTACGTGATTATCAAGAAGAAACGGGGGAAGAAAAACACCCGAAAGCTACGGCATGTGACACAAGGAGGCGCACAAAAGTCCCAAGAAATGAGCTAACGAGGCGAGCTAGCCGGGCCCCTCGAGACGGCTTCACGCGCGGCGCCTTGAAAGGGCCGCATTCGCTGTCCATCTGGGGTTACAATGCCGCCCTCTCTTTGACGCTCCCCATCGCCGTGTTTTCCCAGCTGTGTGTATATGTCGGGCCTTTGATTCGGGGGGCGGCAGTGACGCCCCCCCCCCGGCCCCTTTAGACAGCTGCGGGGAGCGAGCGGGGCACAGCGGAGGAGGAGATGCTCCTAATTGCTGCGCTTCAGCGTCTGATTAGCCCGCTTTGAGTCAGCGATGGGCCGCGATTCAGTCGGCTGGCTTTGTGAAGGCGGAGAGAGAGCAACCGTGTGAAAAGTTGCCATCGCGGACGCCCTCCTTGTAATTGCAACGTTCGCAAAAAAAATATATATATATTTGGATGTCGGCGTAAGGGGGCGTAATAGAGAAAAAAAAGCCGGCGTGAAGTGCAGCAATCAAACGCAGGAGGAATAACGAAGTCAGACTCTGTGGTTCCAGCGGACCGCGCTCTTTCATTTCATGATGCTTCTCTACAGCACATCTATTGATCAGAAGTCAAGGAGCGAAAAAGCAATCAGACCCCGATTTGGCACTGAGCTGGGCGGCATCTACAGGTGACGGGAGGTCACGGTACGGGGCTGCGACCTCATTAAAATGGACGCCGCATATCGTATGCCCATGTGCAATACGCGCAATGACATAATTACACACCAATTTGCATCAATTCCAACGCCAACGCATGGATTTATTGATATATAGAAAATGAATTGCCGGTTCAAATTACCTGCCTGAAAAGCTCTGCATTTCCTAGTTAAAGCAGACGCAGAAACAAAACTGCACACACACTGCCCTCTACAGACTGACCTAGAGACCCTGGTTCGATCCGCTCACACACACAACGGCCTACTTCTGTAGCAGCAGAACCACAGATGACTGGTGATGTCACCCACTTGGAAGATGCGGTCGCAGCTCTGAGGCAGGTCGGCGGGGGAGTACATGGCATCCATCTCGGTAAATTCCAGCGCAAAGTTGCTGACATCCAGCTCGTCCCGGACAACTGGCTTGAATGGTGCCGGAACCTTCTTAGCAGCCAGATCCTCCCAGTTAATCTTCTGCAGTGACAAACACCTGAGTGAGATCCTGTCAAAATCCTCATTTCTGATGCTAATATAAAGACAATACAGAGTTACATAGCTAACATAAAGATAGCTAATATAAAGATAGATATATAGGCAGCTAGTATAAAGAAAATGTATAGAAAAATAAGTAATAGAAAGATAGCTAATATTAAGGAAGCTCATATAAAGATAGCTAATATCAAGGTGGCTAATAGAAAGATAGCTCATATTAAAAAAGCTAAATAAAGGCAAAGCTGAAGAGAAACACAACCATGTGACTAGAGAGTCACGTGAGTTTGGGAAATGTCAGAAGGGTTTGCATGTAGGACTAGCTGTTTTATATTATGTTTTCAGACCCCCCCCCCCCCATGACCCTGAATAGGACAAGTGTTTAAAAAAGGTGAATGCAGAGAATAGTGCAAATAAACCAACGTGTGTCCAGACATTTGACTGGCATTGGCGTTTGGGGGAATCTAAATTATGCAGGAAGAACACTGCATCCCTATAACTGACACCCTTTCCTGATCACCCCTACAATGTTAAATTAAAAGGAATACGATGGAAAGACCATAAATACAAAGTATAGAATGCAAATAAAACTTTATGGGCCAATGAAAATTATGCATCTAGGTGCATGGAACAGGGAAAAAGGAAAGAATTCCAAAGGACAACAGAGGAGAGGAACCAAAAACCAAGTAAGAAAAAAAACATGAGGATAATTAGCATGTTTTAATAAAAGCAAGGGTGTAAATGTTTAAAAAATGATCAGCTTAATAAAAAAAAGCTTATTGCAAGGGAAATTGTTTATTACAGTATATCGAAAAGTTGACCGATGCCCTAAAAACCCAGTAACAGAGTTTTACACATTAAGAGAGGCTAATCATATGCTAACATACCACTTACTAGTAGTTTCAAATTTGGTTCAATAAAATAAACATTTCACCATGTAAGCATACAGAATGTGCAGTTGTAAAAAGGACAACTGCCCCACCTGGTAAAAAGGGTGTCCCTTCACACTGTCTGCCCCAGCAGCCCCCAGCCTTTTCTGGGGGTCTTTGGTGAGCAGTCTTTGGATGATGTCTTTGGCTGGGGATCCCATGTCTTTTGGGAATGGGGGGTCTCTCTTGAGTATCCTCCTTAGTGAGTTGAGAAGAGAGGCACTTCAGAGATAAACATACTGAGAATGCCGACTGAAGGAAAAATTAAAAGGCACGTTGAACACCCCAGTAGAGGAATGCCTGTCATTTCAGTGCCGGTAATTTTGCACTTTTAATAATGATTCCGAAATGTACTGCTCCCAGTGCATACAGCAGTGTTCCCAGTGCATACAGCAGTGCTCCCAGCGCATAGAGCAGTGCTCCCAGATCATACAGCAGTGCTCCTAGCACATACAGCAGTGCTCCCAGTGCATACAGCTGTGCTCCCAGTGCATACAGCAGTGCTCACAGTGAATACAGTAGTGCTCCCAGTGCTCCCAGCACATAGAGCAGTGCTCCCAGCACATAAAGCAGTGCTCCCAGCGCATAGAGCAGTGCTCCCAGCGCATACAGCAGTGCCTTTGCACATACAGCAGTGCTCCCAGTGCATACAGCAGTGCTCCCAGTGCATACAGCAGTGCTCCCAGTGAATACAGCAGTGCCTTTGCACATACAGGGGCATAACTTAGATGGCCTTTGTAATATATAAATGTCTAGATAAGAAATGACAAGGCATTTTAACGTGCAAAGTATATAGTTGAGTACTGTTTGTTTAGAAATTGATAATAAACAGATGTTTTGTGTTTGTTCAGGCTAGCAGATTGTTATGGATTGAGATTAAGGTCGCCAGAGCATTTTTAGTGAATTTTCACGTTTGTGTCAATCTTCAGAACGGAACCCTTGCAGATGTGCTGGGGTTTCTGTACCTACCTGGAAATATCCGTGTGAGAGTTCTCACGTCCGTCCACGGTGAAGGGGGACCCCCCTGTCATGAGCTCATACATCAGCACCCCCAGGCTCCACCAGTCCACCGCCTAGCAGCCAGCAGAGGACAAGTCAAGCCACAACAATTAGGCACTAGATGAGCAGAGGAGCTGGAGAAGCAGCCCACTCTTACTGTGTCATGGCCAGCGTCACCCCCTTCCACAATCTCAGGAGCCATATACTCTATAGTTCCACAGACGGAGTACGTCCTCTTGACCTGAATGACAACACACACACACACACACACACACACACACAGAACAAAGATCCATTAACTCAAGTCTGTGATTTAAAAATATTATAGTCAGTAGGCACCTGAAGAGACTAATCATCGCAATAAGTACACTAGACTACAATTATTGTTAAATTATATACTGATTTCTAAAGGCATATCATCATTTTCATAATAATTGTGAATATATGGCCATATTCTATAGAACATGTGATATTCACGGCTCAGGTCTCAGTGCTTGGTTTTACACAGTCTAGCTCAGTGCTTGGTTTTACACAGTCTAGGTCAGTGCTTGGTTTTACACAGTCTAGCTCTGTCCGATGAGTTGCAAAGGAGCCTGACGGCAGAGCTTGATCAAGCTTTATCAATCATCTAAATACACCAACCCAAATGGAGCCAAACAGCATGCATGAAAAGAGACCTTTCATTTACAGAGGGCAAAAGCTGACAGAGATTCGACGTATCAATGAAGCAAAATGCATACATTGTTCATAATGTGTTTGAAAATATTTCAACACAATCTGTCAGAGATGACAACTCATATTTTTTCTCATTACAGTAACACATAATTCTCAATGCAATTCGTCCACACGAATTTTGCTGGGCAAAACATCTGGGCTTCCACTTACCTCATCAAACTCTTTGCTGAGACCAAAGTCTGTTAGCACAATGTGGCCACTTGAATCCAGTAAAATATTCTCCAGTTTCAGATCTCGGTAGACAATACCCAGCTGAAGAAGGAATATAACATGGAATATGTAACAGTTTTATTACCTTGTAAATAGTCTGTAGGGTCTGCAAACTACCGCAACGCTTTTGATGTAGCTAATTTTAGGTTGATAATGGAACTGTGACTGTGAATCTTTGTACTAGTTGGTTGAAAAAAAAAAAATTAAGTTTGGATTTCAGGACTTGAAATTTCCACCTCTGGAGTACAGATTCCCATCTTTCTGATGTTCACGAACCGTTTTCTATCGAAGAAACATTTCACGAACAGCACACGCAAATGTAGAGTCCGTAACATTTTTAAATGCAACCCCGTTTCCAAAAAAGTTGGGACATGGTGTAAAACAAAAACAGAATGCAGTGATTTACAGAGCAAAGACAACATCAAATATTATTATTGTATGACAAAAATATGCTGAATTTGATTTTGATGCTGGCAACACATTATGCAACATCCGAACATGCAAACAGCACCCACACAGAGCGGAACTGCAACTGCAACATCCCTCCCGGATTGGGAGGAACCGAGATGCCTAATATCTTACGTAAGTTGGCCAAATAGAGCTTCTGCTATCATAAACAGACACCACGGAGATTTTTAAGAATGGATAACATTATCGTAATTAATTATATTCAATAAATGTAAGTGAACAAGAATCAGAAGCTCCCGTTAATCTGAAATAAAAGACATAAACACTATATAAAGCATTTACTGCCACCTACTGGCAAAATATGCTAACAGAATTTATGGGGAGGTTGAGTGAAGCAATCGTTACCTTTGATCTCAAATAAAATGCACTGGTAAATTTACGTATTATTTAGCACATTGTTCTGCTTATACGTGTAAAAAAAATGCTTATATATGTATAATATAAATAATGTTATAAATATGCATACTTGATGGCTCTTGTGTTCTCGCGCACTTGTTTGACGTCATCATTCATCGCCAAAGTACAGTTCCACTATCAAGAACAGAAGTACTAAGGATGATAAAAATCCCCGGTTGTCACTCTTGCTCCGCCCCTAACATTAAGGATGCATTGGTATCATCCTCACTAATGAGAACAGTCCCATGATTCACTGCGTCCCCAGTTCATTCTTGGGAGGCGAGTTAGCAAGACTGCTGGGACCTTAATGCAGCCCAAAGATATGGCTAATTGGTGTCTCTAAATTGCCAACCATTGATCCAGGGTGTATCACAACCTCGTGCCCTATGCTCCCCTGTGACCCAGACCAGGATAGGAAATAAGAAGATAAGCAGATGGAAGGATGAAAGACAAAATTTCATCCAAAATAATGTGTCACCAAACTTTGCTCATTACCAAGTCTTAGTAAAACAGGAAGGTAATCTTGCAAAAAAATTAAAGTCTTTTCCCAGGAGCAGACAGGATTCTGACCTGATCCTGCACCTTCTTTACTCAAGGACCTCTGCAGTGGAGAAGCTAGATATCACAAACAAAGGGGACTTTCTACCATTCAAATGCCAACACGCCTCTCCATGTTTTCAGGGAGGATGTCACTGCACCTTTTAAATGTTCCCATTTAAGGCATGTTTCATTTCTCATTGTGTAAACGGGAGCCAACGGAGACAGAATTCAGGGTTAAGAGGAAAAAGATAAATACGCTTTATGCTGCATCTATTATTAGATCAGTGAATAGTGAAATAAAATGTTGAACTTCTCACTTGGACTTCACTTTGGAGACAAACTTCTGCTAATTAAATAATGTAAATGAAAACAGAAAATGTCACTTCTCACACCTATCGATGTAGATAAGCAGGCATTAATATATAAACTTGTAAACTTAGCATATTTTGGCTCTCTTTCTTCTTGGGACAATATTCTAACAATTAGTGATTAAAGTAAATGTTTTCACCCCCCTCATATTCCTTTTCTACTCATAAATAGACCTGACTGGCCCGTCCATAAGGAGATAAGTCTCAACTAGCACTGCAACATGACCACTTCACACCCCAAAGACGGTTTAATGCCTTCCTAATACTGAGAAGACACCATTTTTATATATCAGCACTATTTTACTATATGAGGATTACTTCAAATCAGGCTCATTTATATCTGATTTTTTTTTTCTGTTAAACCACAACATGCAGACATTTTGTATTTTTTGTTATTTATTGCAGTTGCTTTTGCATTTAACAACAATACAATGGCAGAGCCTCCCCCACCTGCCCACCCCCGACCCCCCCCGCCCCCCCCGCCTCTGAAGGTGCCCTTACCTGGTGCAGGTGTTCCAAGGCCAGCACGATCTCACCGCTGTACAGCGCCACCTCCTGCTCCTTGAAGCGGACCCTCTGCACCAGGTGTGTGAACAGCTCCCCCCCGCTAACGTAATCTGCAACGGCAGCCTGGCATGAACATACAACACGGCTCCCCCCCGCTAACGTAATCTGCAACGGCAGCCTGGCATGAACATACAACACGGCTCCCCCCCGCTAACGTAATCTGCAACGGCAGCCTGGCATGAACATACAACACGGCTCCCCCCCGCTAACGTAATCTGCAACGGCAGCCTGGCATGAACATACAACACGGCTCCCCCCCGCTAACGTAATCTGCAACGGCAGCCTGGCATGAACATACAACACGGAGTTCCGTCCACCGATAAGCACATGCATGAGAAGCTACAAACCGCTATAAAAAACACCCCCATCTGACATGACACATGGCACAGCCAAGGTCTCTAAAATAAGGCAAGTGCAGTTAAGGCCAGCGTCCCCCTCATCTTTACCCAGGGAACTCAGTATCTGCAAGAAATGGTTAAGATCCCAAACATACACAGGAAGATGGCAGATTACATTGCAGATGCAACAATCCCAAAAATCATGTGATAATCGGTTTGCGATGATTTAATGTCGTTCTAAAAGATTCAAAATATAATCAAAGCCTAGAAGTCATTGTAAACACCGATGGAGAACTTCAGTAATTTTGAGCGTAAAGGCATGAGACCGAGAGGCAGACGGACCTAGGATGAGATGCAGCCGGGTGTCAGTCTGGAAGGCGTAGTGCAGCGTGACCAGGAAGGGCGACTGGCGGATGTGCTCCAGGACCTGCCGCTCGGTGCGCGTGTGCTCCCTCGTCTTGGCCTTCTGCACGATGGTGGCCTTCTTCAGCACCTTCATGGCATACAGCTGGCCCACGTCATGGCCGCTGACCTTGCGCACCAGGAACACCTTCCCATAGGCTGACGGGGAGAATGTCAACAGGAAACTGAATCAGAATTGGGTTTATTAGCCAAGAATGTCCAGACAAACAAAGAATTTGTCAGTGGCTCTCATTGACATACAATGTGAACGTATGGTCAATAAATGTATATAAAGAGCAAGAGTGCAGTTCAAGGAATGTAGGATTAAATACAAAATGTACTGTACAATATAATAAAATAAGTGCAATGGGAATCACTGAGCAGTTGTTAATACTGGGATATCATGACACATTGGTTTCAGTCTAAACTATTTTTTAACAAAAAAACCTTCATAACCCTAATATAATAAAGCCTGAAAAACAGTCAACACAGAGAACATCACATAGCCAGTCACATCTTTTTGTGCAATTACATCATTTCCTGCTTTTAGTAACTCACCCCCAGTGCCTAGCACTTTAAGCAGCTCGAAATTCTCGATTCCAACCTTCTCCACGTGGCCAGTTAGGTTGGCTGTGAAGAGAAGAAGAGGCCAACAGTCAGAGCTTGAGGCAAAAACTAACCCTTTCCCATCACATGGGCCTCAAAGACATTTATGACATGTTTTGAATGTATGTCTGAGATCAGTGGTTTCCATCTGGTTTTGCCTAAGAACCCACATTTTCCCCTGGTCATTAATTCACAACTCAAATGAGAAAAACAAGAGGAAAAAAAAACAATATACAACAATAATATACAAGAACAATATTGTTGGGAGGAGGGGAGCAGGCAGTATGACGTGTCGACCACACATTCTCATTGGTCTCATGACCCACTTTCAGGTTGCAAACCATCAGCTGAGAAAGAGATAAACCATTTCCGTATATTTAACTACCCTTTTATATTTCGATCAATCCGCTACTATTTTTCATGTAGGGCTGCAGTTAGCTGTTGACCAACAATTCTGAACAAATTTCCAAACTCAGACACCACTCACCCTAAAGCATCAGAAATTGCACGTTTTGCAGTCCAGAGGGTCTTAAAACACCCAAAGCTGTGCTTATAAAAAAATGTTCCAGCCCCACAGGAACTTTAGCTTTTGATTGTGGTTCATCTACTTTTCATGTCCAACTGTTAAAGAATGATAATAAAATAAGCAGTTTGCAACTATAAATCTACGGCTACTGCTGTCATCAGGAGAGCACTCTGATGTTTGAAAGACATGATTAATGCTGACTAAAGTGCCCTTGAAGCACAACACAGGGCCGAGCTCCCTGTACACTGCGAGCTCCCTGTACACTGCGAGCTCCCTGTACACTGCGAGCTCCCTGTACACTGCGAGCTCCCTGTACACTGCGTCCTACCTGCCACCCCAAGCCACGTCTGCAAAAAAGCAGAAGAAATAAAGGTACCCAAACAAACCAAACCAAACCACACACACACACACACACACACACACACGCGCCACAGTTTTCATTCTGCTTGCATGCTATGACTCAGTAGCAGTTAATATTTCATGCATGAGCTGAAATATAGTACCTGGTCAAAATATTCCCATAAGGACCAGCTTCACCAGGTTCTAGACTGAGCAAACATTTAGAGGAGCAGCAGGTGATTTCATCCACCCTCAAGGAAGATGTCTATGGGTAAGCTGTCTTTAAAAACTAGTGCTTTGTTTTGAGCAAACAAGTGGTTTCCAAAACTGAGGGGAGTTGCTTTTTGTATGTCTATTTACTAATTCATTAATTTTTATTGTCCCCTTATGACAGGTTGCCATATTGCAAGTAAGCCTGATTCACTACATAACACCCCCCCCCCCGCCCCGCCCCCCAAAGTAACTGATGACATGATTCACACCCCAGATACGAGGTGCTCTTCAGGCTGCACTAAAACGCACCATGACATACATGCTAGTACAAGACATTTTAGAGTGTGAAACACATTCTTAATTCATTGGAGCCAATGACATAAATAAGACTCAATAAACAAATAACAAATCGACAGACATGTCTCAAGCATTACATTTAATGGGATTTTAGTCATTCAGTCAAGAGCTCCATTGATCAATATTTTATTAAAGAGCTGAAACATAACAGTTTTGTACTCTTACTGGTCTGTTTCCTTGATTGAAAGACCATCCACCTGTTTCCCATTAACATTAATGACACATGCATGATCAAAGGAGACTGACCAATCAGCACACAGCAAGAACTCAGTGCTTAAATGAAATCCGGGTCCTTTTACTTGAAATGGCTGAAATGCTAGTGTACAAACCCCGCCATAGCGCACGGTGTCCCTCGTGACAGGTGTGAAGTGGTCACCATAATTAGGCCTAAAGCAATACCATGACAGTGGAGCCACACTGCTAATCTCACTGGCAGGACCTGAAGCTGGTATTACCGCTGGTAGCGCGTGAAAAAGGAAGTGGGGAGCAAGATAAGAACAACCGGAAGGGAGACGCAGTCTGCTCTTGCAAAACTGAGTTTAGTCATTGGCTGGCAGCCAACCTGAAAACAGTTGTGGGATGTTCTTTCCCAAGCTCAGAGCTCACAAGAACGAATAAGCACAGCACCCCTCTCCACTAGGATCACTACTGTGAACTGGCTTCCAGATACTGGGCAACACCTCCCATCTTTGAACAAAACCACCACATCAGCAGGCATGCAAACTTTGGTCAGCTGGCTGGCATGAGATTTTCAATTCGAGACACGTCTGCACACGCATGAACACACATTTACATGTCTGTAGCAGATTTATTACCTTGCAAATAGTCTATAGGGTTTGCAAACTACCTCAATGCTTTTGATGTCCATAATTTTAGGTTTATAATGGAATAATACAGATCTGCCGTAACAGTTGGCGGCCCTGAATCAGTTTGCTCAGGTTCAAACGCATCTCAAACCTTCCGCCACGATTAGCACCCTGACTCACAATGCTTAGCAGGCTGGAAAAGGTCATTCTGAAACGCCGCTTTTTAAAAATTCCCAATAAAGCATTTCTGTAACTCAGGAACGTATTTGAGTTTTTTTGTTGAAAACCGATAGGTAGTTATAACTGACAAAGTGCTGCAATTGTTCTAAGGCAGGCAGCCCTGCATGTACGACTTGCTCTAATTGGCTTCTTCACCAGCAGCTAATTCGTATGCAAATCAAGCTAGGAACTATCAACAAGGAACGTAATGCACAACACAGCATGTAATATAAGCAAAATGAAACAACCAATGCAATGCTACTTTTGCCAATCTGCATTTACAGAAAAAGAAACAATGAAACAATAGGAAAACACTGCTAAACCGGCGATAAAAATACTGACGAAACACGAAACCAAAGCTTGGTTTAGAGCCAACAGACACGGCTGCGATATTTGCAGAGTAACCTCATAATCAGATGGCTGCTGACATTAGCAGATATAGCAAGTCTGATCAATTCTAAGGACACAGATAAGGTGGCATGGAGCCTGCAAATGAGAGGCTCCTCCTGCAAACATCAAATGACACTGAACATGGTCCCCAGTCGGCTGTTATAACGAGGCAGATAGATGCCTGCCGATTCCCCATCTCAAGACGATGAATTAGTGAAATGTAAGGTAAATGGCAGGCAGTTCTGTCAAACCCGCCACTGACAGCATACCAACAGCTAACAGCGACAGAAATACCCACAGCCATGCGCCTAATTATAAAACCCTACACTCGAGGACTTTTCACAGTCATACACCACGATGTTAGAGTATTCAGGAGGTAAACAATCAGCTCGGGAACATTTGGACATGTTGATGATAAAAATTTTATTAATGAATAGCTCAGATACTACACTGACACTACTAGCTCTAAGAAAAACAGAAAACACCCCAATAAACAATACAAGTTCAGTAACAACACTGGCTCCTGTTTAACTGCCAGGGTCTGGGACAAAACAATGAAACCATCATGAATTTGTGTCACTCCACAAGACATCCTGATAAGCCCAGCCTACATAGACTAAACAGGCATCTAAAGACCTGATTTATCCATCCTGGCCTTCTATGCTATCCCAGTGGGGATAAAGTATGCATAGTCCTAGGTATACACCCATCTCTCAAGAAAGGCGACATTGGAAAGGTCATTTCACGTTCCCAGGAAAGCCATCTGCATGAAGCATTACTGGAACATACAGCCATTCAACACTGGACAAAAGATGATTCAGTACCGGACAAAAGCAAAACTGAAATAAGAGAAAATAAATAAATATCCAATAGTAAGTCAGCAGTCAAGTTCGATGTGTGCGGCCACTCAGATGGGTCATGTTTCCAATGGAACTGTCAGCTCCCATGAAAATGGCCAAAATCTGATGCCAAAAATAAATAAATAAATAAATAAACTAACAAACTGGCAAATTGCTCCAAAAAGACATAATGAGGACTTCAGGCAGCCAAGGATTCAGTGAAACAGATAATGAGGAATGATTAAAATAAGGACAAAAACACCACAAGGCCTCAAAAGATTTCATCAAAAGTAAAATCCAGTGTGACACATCACTCAGAGCATTAGAAGGTGTTTATTTGATTCTAAAGAGAGGGGAACACATAGCACAGCCAACGTTGGGTCCAGACTGTGCTGACTGTCCCCGAAGGGTTCTGGCCTTGTTATTATCTGTGTGTGTATTATAAGGGAAGAGGAAAGATTTGGGCTTTGTGACAGTAAAGCCTCACAAGCACAAACCAGTCCAGACGAACCTCCCAGTTCAAGGTCCGGTCGGGACAATGAGTTCCTGGCTAAAGGACTTCAGCTAACCAGGGGAAAGGTCAAAAGGCACTGGCTGCATAGTGAAGCGGAGTACAGCAAATTCTGCTTTGGCACCGAGCGTAAATATCAGCATGAAATCCAAACTCAGACACCACTCACCCTAAAGCAGTCTTCATACATACAGTATAAATATAAAACATATCTGCTACTGTAAGAAAATATATACAAACACACATTTTTATATATATATATATATATATATATATATATATATATATATATATATATATATATATATATATATATATATCTTGTTTATAAATGGCATAAACAATTTTAGGACTTCATGTCATATACATATACATTAAATTCATTTATTTGCTTTTCTTTACACAAGGGAGACAGCTTGGGGTCAGGGAGAGGTTAAGAACCCTGCCCAAAGACCCAACAGTGGTCTGTCAGCCAAGGATATTTGAACCCACAACATTCTGGATATGGGCTGAAATATGATGCCTAAGCCACTATGCTACACACCACACTGTACACAGTCCATTTTATGCAAATAGCTGTAATAATACAATTAGAAACAATTTTACAGGAAAAACTATGATGGAAGCAGGATCACCGTAAGCAATCAAATGTAAAATCTGGCCACTATCAGGCATGCTTGCCTACAACATGGACATTCTGCAGGAGAACACATCAGCAATTGCATGTTAAGATGCACATCCCTCGTACTTCTCCAAAGAAGTTTTAACTGAACCAATAAAAAAGTGCATGGAAAAAGGTCCATAAAAAAAACACCTAAATGTGCCTCGTGACAGCCTATGACATTCAACAAAACAAAATCTTTATTTTTATATACTAACAGTAACAATGAACACACAGACCCGGGTTGTGGCCATGCAGTCTTTCACTTCATTTGATCTTTCAATTAAGCTATGTTCCATTCCATGAATCCTTTCCAGTTCAGAGGTCAAATACCCTGTGTTGCTACAGCACAATTCAGGTGCCCTTGAACTTAATCTGGCTCTGCCTTGACTGGTCCTCCCAAATCTCATTGGGTCTTATCCTCAAGTCGTCTGCTGGCAGAACCTAAACATGCACAGCCAAGGCATCTTTAGCTTTTTTCCCAAAGTTATGAGTCTAGAACAAATTATTGGGGAATCTGGTGAGCAAACACCCATATAACTAAATACGTGAACTACTGGCATGTGCAGTGTTGGGGGAGTTACTCATAAAAGTAATCCATTACAGGCAGAAGCGGAAAGTTCAGGTCTAGAAAATACTAATTCAGAACAAGACTTTGTAGCAACCAACCAGTTGACTATAAAGAGTCAAAGTCATAGAGCACTTAACTGGTTGGTTGTTACAAAGCCTTGGTCTGGATTTGAACCTTCTGGACCAGAACTTTCCACCTATGTCTGTAATGGATTACTTTGAGTAACTCCACCAACACTGTGTATGTGCCAAATTTAATGCATGCATTACCGCTAGCAAAAATGTTACAAATGCGACATTTATATCAAAGTTTATCATCAAAAACAGCTAAAAAAACCATTTCAGTCCCGGTTATGGGTTTCATGGGAAAATACCACGGCCCTGGTCGCTTTCTCACAACATTAAAGTGCTAACCACCAACGCACACTATCTGACACCGCACGGCACGCAGCGCTAAACGGCCTCTTTTCCGACCCCGACCTATACCGAAAGAGCACCCCCCCCCCCCGAAAAGAGGCATTCTGCACCAACCTTTGGGTCGGTTGGGGGGTTGAGGTCTTCACCTATTTAAGGGGATCCAGGGTGTTGTATTGTTGGCTGGTTTTGATTATTGGTGCCCCCCATAATTATTGGGAGGAGGCAAAATTTACGCCCATGTACTACACTGACAGGTGACAATACGGACCGAATATCAAAGAGGCGCTGTTCTGTACAGATGGTTGTATAGAGCTTATTCATTCATTCATTTATTCTTAATGGTTATTTTGAAGACGATACAATGCACCAGGTGTTCTGACTGCCTGACAAGATAGTTAACTCTGTAACTTTAATTTAATATTTCATTTTCAATCTTGGCAGCGACATTACCTATTTAGATTGTAAAACGCTCGGTCACACGCAGACACGGCAGAGCGAATCGAAACGCAGTTGCAAATACGCAAAGAGATTTTCTATATAATCATAACACAGAGATACAAAACTTACCATCTTTCAGCTCATGTTTCACCGTAAATATGTCACCTTCCCCAGTGGCTCCTTCCATTGATAGTGATATGGAACTCTAAACCAAAATGAGTATATCTTAAAAATGTGTTACATCCTAAATACTTCTAAACTAACTAGAGACGTCTCGTGTTCGTCGAATAAACAAATAAACAAATAAATAAACATTGAAATGTCAATGACTTCTTACATACATTGGCAGTAAAGCTACGAAAGATGCACCTTGTTCACCGCAATGTCATAACACTATCTGATAGTTGAGCTCCAAAGTAACTACTACCACCACCATACCTTGAGCGATCGAGCCCCCCTAACGCAGCCGCTTCGGCTTGCTGGCCGAAAACGAAGCTCCGCTGCCGCCGGACCGAGCCGTCAGTGCATCGATGGATCCGTCCTCCGAACACAAACCGCCCAGCGGCCGCGCTCTTCCTTCCCATTGGTGTAACGAGTCGTAACTGACGGATAGCTCAGCGAATCAGAGAGAAGGAAACCCCGCTGTCATTTAGCGTTTTGTTTGGCGGAATAGGCCGTAGTAATATTCAAAACACAATATAATACGTCGGATGTGTTTTCTATTTAAATACTTTATGATAAAGCGAGTCTATATAGAGTACACGGCTTTGTGCTTTTATCACCCTGGTTGCCCTGGCCTCGTTTTTGTTCGTTCTCTGTATTTTTAACAGGGCCTTGGCTTAGATTTCAGAAATGTAGCTTACGAGCTAATTTGACCTTCCTCTCTGGCTGTCGATTTTTTTTCTTGGTTTATTTGGTAAGAGTTGGAATGTAACGCTAGTATGCATTTAACGAGAAAGTGGTTATTTTTAATGCGATTTGTAAAGTGGCCTGCTATAATAGCTTATTTCGATACTTTTTTTGACCCTTACTGTTCATTATCTGCTCTTACCTCATTACAGCTCCGATATTAATCCGTTATTAATCCGATAAATTACTTGAAAGAATATATGTGTTTTTAAAATGTTCTCTTCTGTAAGACTTGCGAGGAACTTTCTTAATCACTTTCGACTCCCAGTCAAAGGGGAAATATTTGCTCACACCAAAGCCGCAGGTATGGGTTCAGGTAGGAATACTTTATATTATGAATTGATAACGTTAACTATGCTAAAAATCAATAATTTAACCCGTTTATTAATTATAGGTTAGATTAAAAATGATACAAATATGTGTACATTACTTCATAGATAGTCATACCCATGTATTCGGTTCTAAACCAAATCATTCTTGAATAAAATGTGTTCATGTGCAAATAAAGACTGATTTGACGCTACTTCTATAAGGAAATAGAATACACGTTTTAAGGTGACTGCTAAAAAAAATCTCTTTTACAGCAATTTAATAAACGTAGTGGATTTAGTGAACCTTTGTTTCCCAGAAGAAACAACTTTACAGATCAAGTGTCACAAAAGAACAAGGTCAAAGGGTAACTGGAACTAAACCGCTGTCTTGATAGGACACTGGTTCGCTTTACAGATATACACTAAGATGTGAAAGTCAATGGACAATAAAACCTGGGACAGTGTTACTTAATATTAAACTTGCAGTATGATTTGTGTATTTTACAATGGCTGAAATTCATATATATTATATATTATTACTCCTGCTGCTATCAGAGAGAGGTGCATAGTAAGGATGTATGGATTGACACAAATATAATTTTTTTCTATTTTGAAAATCAATTCTTACATAAAAGCTTTTTCCCTGGTAATTTAAATGTTTACATGATTATGGGGAGCAGAACATGAATTACTATCAAGAAGGGCTTCCGATAAAGGGGGTGACAGTCAGGATTGGGCCAGCACCAAATATCAGTATCGGAATCGGCGATACCAACCTTGGTAGTAGATTGAGTCAGATTGAAAAGAAAATATCCATCTCTAGTGGACAGGACTTGAAGGGGGGAAAACAGGTGCTGGTACTCCCTTTGATATTCAGTACTAAGTGCTGGTACTCCCTTTGATATTCAGTACTAGATGCTGGTACTCCCTTTGATATTCAGTACTAGATGCTGGTACTCCCTTTCATATTCAATACTAGGTGCTGGTACTCCCCTTGATATTCAGTACTAGCTGCTGGTACTCCCTTTGATATTCAGTACTAGGTGCTGGTACTCCATTTGATATTCAGTACTAGGTGCTGGTACTCCATTTGATATTCAGTACTAGGTGCTGGTACTCCCCTTGATATTCAGTACTAGGTGCTGGTACTCCCTTTGATATTCAGTACTAGGTGCTGGTACTCCCCTTTATAGAATTTTGAAATTGTGGTGATAAAATTCGCCGAATGGGGGTGGGGGTCCCAGCTAATTTTGTCCCCAAGGTTTTAAAATACTGTGGTATACTGTAATACCACCCAAGCCTAGTAAAGTTTACCCATTTCACTTCCGCGGACAAATGTATGTCCATGCACAAACCATAACAGCACCCACAAAGGTGAAGTATGAACTAGGCTTAACACACCAGTGTTAAAGTTGCTTGGTGGTGATGTTATTATCCGCAGTTTACACAGCAAACCTCAAAAATGCTACCAATCAATAATAAAATTCATTGTGAACAATTTGTTATGTAACGATTTTTATCAGTTGTTGCATCCCTAAACTTAATAAGTCTCTGATTACATGGAAGCACTGTACCATCATTCAGTTTCATATTAATAGCAGACAGTATGCACAGTGCTTTTAAATTACAGACAGAAGACTCCACACGTTATAAAGACTGCATTTACTTAATGAATGGAGAACTACCAGTATCACACATGACAGCAGACCAAAAGCAAAATATTGCTTGTGTTTAGATGATTTTCAGGTAAATGGTGTGCAGTTCAAAGCTCAAACCACATTTCAGCTTTTACTACTATTGCATTGACAGTGTCACATATTATGCCTGAAGGTTGTAAAATATTAACTTAACACACCTTCGAAAGACAGACAAGTTAAAGCAGGAAGCATTGAACCTAAAAACAGTCATGTCAAAAATATCTGTATCTGTAAGTGTGAGTCCTTCCTCAATACGGAATTTAATCCGCACAAAGGCTTATGGTTTTGACACTACCTCTGGTATGGCTTTAGGTGGGTAAGATTAATATTGTCATTTTATTGTTGTTGTTATATTTCTAGTACAAAATACGAACACTTAATTTTGCTATTAAAAAATAAGTATAGATGTATAAATATTTAGGTTTCTTTTATATTCATGGCTTGTTAGATGGGTTCACCCAAGTAAATTTGGATGCAGTACAGTTTTATTCATATGTACAGTTCACGTTTTATCTTTGTAGTAGAAAAATTGAACGCCGCACTGTCTCTTACTGTTTTATGCTAAAAGGGTACCAGCAAGCAAACGTGGTGATCCTGCACAAGACCCTGGCCAATGACTTTGAAGCATTCTGCGATGTCAACCGAGGCCCCCTCCCCCTCCTGTACCGGAGTAATCCTGGGGAGTGGGGCTGCCCCCTGCTGGCAAAGAACGTGGACATCAGGTAAACCTCTCAGGAAAATGTAAAAAGAAAAGGCATTTTCAGTTGCATTCCAGCTGTAGGTTTCGTTTGTTCACTTTACTACAGTAACAACTTTGCCTACACCTTTTTTATACTTGTAAAGATAAAGGAACATTAAAGTGAAAAACTTAAAAGTCCTTAGTCCGTCACAGCGTGTCATTCAGCCCATTTTAGTTAAAGTGTCAGGGTGTAACTTATTTAACTCTACTAATTATTTTCAAGTCTTACACTTTGGTTGCATTCAGTGTTTTCTAAGCCAGTCCTTTGATCCTACTGGGAGCTGGTTAGGTCGGGTTAGTCTGGGGAGCATGCACTGGTGCAGCACGTTGCCACACCCACCATGGAAGGCGCAAAAATGTGGACTGTCTGGTAGGGAGCTGAGAGCGAGTAAAAACCTGGACCGGGAGTCTCCAAGGAGTGGATTGGGAAACACTGAGCTAGATGATAATTACTGTCCTATTTCTGTAGTGCAGGATCAGGTCCAGAAGAAAAGTCAGAGAAAAAAGTGCTCAGAGTAGTTGTTTGTTGCAAGGGGCACTGATAAGGCAAACTGATTGATGCCAGGTGGGTTAGATACCTGGGTCTGTCGTAGGCCTCACAAGTAGGTCTAAGGATAGAGAGACTCAAGCGCCAGAGTAACAAAGTAAATGTAAAGGATATTAGAAGAGACACAGAATCCCACCAGGCCAAGCCTACTGACCCCCAGCAATCCCTTATACATTCCTGATATTCAAGGCTGTAGAACTATAAACTATAAGGAGTCAGCAGAGAAGGTTGTGATGACCCTCTACACAGATCATTCGCACACATCTGTGATCAGCTCCCTAACCAATGGTTTAATTATAATGAATAAAGGTTATGATTCATCAATGACTCCTCTAATAATAAGTTCTCAGATTCTTTATGTAAAATACTGGCTCATGTAGATCCCCCTCCCTTTTATTGCCCTACAATAGTGGTTCTTAAACTATGGTGAACTTCTGGGCTTATTCAAAGGCATCAGTGTGTATAAAGATTGGTCAGAATGGTGGGTCTGCATTTCCTTGCCCTCCCCAACATTGATGTTACTAATGTTGGGGTCACAATAGGGTATCTTGGCATTTAATTATGGGGAAGAACATTTTTAAGCAAGGAAACACAGATGAAAAAGGAGGTACTTTCCTTCTTTCGTCAGAAAGATCACGATTTCTTCTGAAGGGTCGCCTTCTAACATACCTGCATGCAAATTTCTTCTCCTCAGACTGGACTGTCCCCAGTACTGTGTGTTTGAGGATGGCCTCATGGTTGCCAAGGTGTCCAGTCTGATGTCGTACACACTGCAGCTCCAAGACATGGTTACCTTCTACTTGGGCTGCAGTTTCAGCTTTCAGCAAATCCTGAAAGATGCTGGCGTCCCAGTTCGGAATGTGGAGCAGAACCGCAATGTCAGCATGTACAGGGTAAGAGCCAGAGTAAGAGCCAGAGTAAGAGCCAGAGTAAGAGCCAGAGTAAGAGCCAAGGTAAGGGCTGGGTTGGTACAAAGGGTACAAGTTGACACTATACCCTACACTAAGGGTTGGTAGAAAGGGTACAAGTTGACACTATACCCTACACTAAGGGTTGGTAGAAAGGGTACAAGTTGACACTATACCCTACACTAAGGGTATAGTGTAATACAAAAAGTAAATAGTCTAACACTAAGGGTAATAAGGTGGGGGCCCTAAGGGTATAGTGTCAACTTGTACCCTTTCTACCAACCCTTAGTGTAGGGTATAGTGTCAACTTGTACCCTTT